CATATATGTATATATATATATATATGTGTGTGTGTGTGTGTGTGTGTGTGTGTGTGTGTGTGTGTGTGTGTGTGTGTGTGTGCATATGCATGTGTGTGTGTGTGTGTATATATATATTTACATATATGTATATATATATATATATATATATATATATACATGTACATACACATATATATGTGTGTGTGTGTGTATGGATAGATGGCAAGATATACATATATCCCAATGTCGACGGGTAACACGTGTATGTACATGCTATGCCCACTGTGAGTTACTTGTTTGATTGTTTTTACGCATAGATGGCAACACGTGCTAATTCCCCAATGAGCCAGTTACGAGTACTGCCCGTCTCGCCCGTTTACCCTTTTCTTTGATTCACGAAATATTTTACGTCGGCTTATTTTGCTGTTACTAATGTTAAAAAACATTATAATAATTATAATGTTTATAATAAAAATAACACCATCGATATTCATAACACTAGTGAAAACTACGTTTTTGCCGCCATTTCAAATCAGGCGCTAGCAGAGCCATCTATCGGCAGACATTTCACAAAGATGTAGAAAATAGGCACAGCATTTTCCCCATTTCTTGTTCATTTTCCCCGGCGGCATTGGGATATGTGTGTGGGTGGGTGTAAATATATATATATATATATATATATATATATATATATATATATATAAACACACATATGTGATCGAACCATCTGTGGTCAAAAAGTGAAAACGTATGTACAGTACTTTGTTCCTTTTTCGTGTATCTTTACGTTCCAATTCTGATAAGAACAGTTAAAATGTAAGTTGAAGCCAGATGTAGTTCACTAACCTGTAGTGGTCGTGCTGGTTAACGTTGTCGTAGTTTCTGAATGGAAAAAAATGATATTATGTTAGCTAATAATTAATGTACTCAAATCGCATAAACACGCACACATAAACACGCACACAACAACAACAATACAGACACATTTATATAAAAAGCGGAGGTAAGGAGTGAGTGTATATGAGTGTGTGTGTGTATGTGTGGTTGTGTGTGTGTGTACATATATATATATATATATATATATATATATATATATATATATATATATATATATATACATATACATATGTATATATATACATATATATACATATATATACGAATACATATATATACATATATATATGTGTGTATACATATATATAAATATAAATATAAATATATATACATAAATATATACGCATACATATATATATATGTATATATATATATATATATATATATGCATATATATATATATATATATATATATATATATATATATATATATATATATATATATATATATATATGTATTCATATGTCTATGTATATTCATATATCTAAATATATATATATATATATATATATATATATATATATATATATATATATATATATATACACACATATATGTGTGTGTGTATGGATTGACAGCAAGATATACATATATGTGTGTGGGTGTGTGGGTATATATATATATATATATATATATATATATATATATATATATATATATATATATACATATATATATATATATATACATATATATATACATATATATATATATATATATATATATATATATATATATATATATATATATATATATAAACACACACACATATGTGATCGAACCATCTGTAGTCAAAAAGTGAAAACGTATGTACAGTACTTTGTTCTTTTTTCGTGTATCTTTGCGTTCCATTTCTGATAAGAACAGTTAAAATTTAGCCAGATGCAGCTCACTAACCTGTACTGGTCGTACTGGTTAACGTTGTCGTAGTTCCCTTAATTGCTGAATGGAAAAAGATTTGATGTTATGTTAGCTAATAGTTAATGTACTCAAATCGTTGCAGTAGAATTCCCATGTGGAAGCTTGTATTTTAACGCATCTACAGATTTACAAATAGTCATTTTGAAAGCTTGAACAGTTTGTAAAATAAATACGGTGGCTAATAAATACTCTAAATAGATATATGTATGTATGTATGCACACAACAACAATACAGACACATTTATATAAAAAGCGGAGGTAAGGAGTGAGTGAAATGTTGAACCTAAAAAGAGGTTAGTGGGAATTGAAAGGGGAAGATAGTATAGTATGAAGAGGTGATGGAGACAGCAGTTTTGTTCATAGTAAGAAATGTGGTGGTTCAAGAGAGTATAAGAAAGGGGAAGCTAGCCAAAAAAACAAGAACTGGGATAGTCAGAAATATTAAGAAAATGGACGTGAATGCACGGAGATGCAGCGTAAGACGAAGAGAGAGATGGCGAAGGTTGAGGAAAAGGCGGGTAACAAGCTGTATGAGAAGTTGGACGCTAAGGAAGAAATGTATTTGTACTGATTGGCCTGGCATATAGATTGAAGGAGGTACATCAGGTTAGGTCGAGAAAAGATGCATATAGAAATAAGCAGACAAACGAGCAGTGTGTGTCGAAAAGGTGGATGGAAAACTTGAAGAAAGTGTTAACT